AAAACTCACCCTTGCAACCCTAAGGGGTGTTTTCCAGGGGTGCTAACGCGCCGGCGTGACCCGCGCGAGAACCTTAGTGCCAGGAAAATATGCGTCGGCAGGAGGTATCGGGTCGGAAAACCACCCCTTGGTGAAATGGATCAATATCTGCGCGATTATTGTGTGCAATATGCGCCGTAATGGGCGAGCGCGCGCGTTTCTAACACCTGCCTTTTGTTCGTGGCGCGGCCCCTGATCAAAAAACGTCATGTGTGCCGCGATGACGGAAGAGAGGAAAAGCAGCCGTCGTGGCATTGTGCGTTTTCAATCGCACACTTCACCACAATGTTTATATGGCTTTTAAAAATCAGATCAAATTTCTTCAATCATTTATCAAACCAATTAAATTGATATGTCAATTCCAATGATAAATTTTATTCTTACTTTAAAAGAAAGCAAAATTATAACAATTAAAGTAACAATAGCGGACGTGTTGATGTAAAGTCCAAAAAGATAAAGTTCTAAAGGTACCTAACAAGAAAATCTAAATAAAACAAAATGTGCACAATTGATGCTGAAAATTAGGCAAACCAGCATATCTCCTTTGTCAAGCAAAGACTAACCAAAAATTACAGGGTGTGCTTTCTTGCGTCAAAAGGTCACAACTTTCAAGGATAATTAGTATTGAATAATTTTGCCTGACAGCACATTTGATTGATAAGTGCGTTTGTAAATTTTAAGTTCAGTGATGTGCAAAAACAAGAATTGCCACGTTGGACATCTCAAATAAAAACAACTTTCGAAAGGATTGTATACTCATTACTGTGACATAAATCGCACCTATAAATTTCTGATAAGCCCGACATTACAATGAAATTGGTAATGGTTATTGCCTTCAAGTTCGTCCCTGTGTTGTGAAAGAGGATGGGCATAATTTCAATTTGACATAAAATAAAAGTTTAACAAGTTTTAAGAAAACGTCTTTCAGGCACAATTAATTCGAATGCATCAAATCATACAAATATTAAAAAAATTCGGTTTACTAAAGGACACCGGCTACTCTTCTTACAAAAAGCCGCTCATTTGATTCTTTCGTACGAATATGATAATTTTTGTGCGTAACCGAAGTACATGTAAATATTGTGCAAAATGAATATTTAATCACAATGGACAGCTCAAATGACATCATTAAAGCTGTAAAGGTTACGGAATAAAATTATGTTTCGCCCCGAGCTATAAGTATAAGGGTTATGGGCATAGTAGGAAACTATCCCAAAAACACTCACAAACAAAGTAATTTTCATAAAAATATATGAAATTAAAAATTTAGTTTATTTAGGATATCAACATGTTGACTAAATTGATGGAAACGAACTGGATATCTCGTGTGACAAATGGTACACTCTAATGAAAATTTTTAAGAATTATAATTATCACTCGAATTATGGTTTTTTTTAATAAAAAAAATCAGGTACAAATTTTTTTTAAACTTTTACAAAAATTGAGGTAAATATAGGTATATTTTTCACTGTCACTTTTTGTTTTCACTTTGATAAGTTCGCGGTGCACGAGGACAATAATTCATTTGTGACAACTTAAAATATCATTTAGCCTAAAAAATTTTTAACTGAATACGTGACCGTTGGAAAAGATAAAAATCGGGTCCTTGGGAGAAAAACATCCTGTCTGCATTTCCAAAATACGTGCAGTTATAATTTCGCAAAATGTCGGAAATGACTCATCCGCGTGCAGATATATAAAAGGGCCACACGGAGCGCAAATGTTTTATACTCAAAATGCTGAAACTGATGGTGCCCGTGATTGTTATTGTTGCCCAGGTAAAATATGCATCTATACTATGTCAAAAATGTGTTCTGATTCTTTTCGATACCGTTTCAATCAGACGTCACTTCTCAAAAGATGTAGTATTTAAATTTGTTTATTTTCAAAATTCAATTATTGGTGTGTCAAAGTGGGAAAAAAAGTGAAGAAATTTTGATATGTTTGATATCAAAATAAGCGCCAAAAGCGCAATGTCAACCAAATTTGTTGAATTTATTCCAAAATCTCAGACTAATAAATTCAACTCAATTTTAATTATTGACAATTTTTTTCTTGTACTACAGCTGGCACTTTCTCTGCCGGTTGATGAAAACTCCGGACTTGCAAAACGTCCGGTCCGGGCGGTCCAACAGCCCTGGAAGCCAGGTTAGAAAAAATATTGAATAAATAAAAATATATTTAAATTTAGAACAACAATAATAATAAAACTATTTTTCAACGGATAGCGGCTGCTACCAGCCCTGAGGACTCATCATCAAAGCAGACAAAAACAACCAAGATAAAACCCACCAAACCTCCAAAGTCCACCAAACCTCCCAAGTCCACTAAAGCTGCCCTTGTCCGTAGAGAAACCAAAAAGCATTTAAATTGAAATCAATAATTGAGTATTTAATATTTCTCTAAACCTGATTTGAGAGTCTTAACTTTTCCATGATGCATGCATATTTATGTTTCTGATTTTTAAACATTTTTTTCTATATCGCTATCGCAAAAATAAACATACATAATTGCAAACCATTTTAATATTGTTTAATTACTCGATATATACACTATACACTGTAAAATTCTCTGAATTGAAAATTTATTTGTAATCAGCTTCTGTAAGGAAATCAATATATTTACCACACCGCAAATAATATCAGACTAATTTTTTCATATTTTACCAGAATTTTCTATGCTCCTTGTTCCTTGTATGAAAATTTGTGTGAAATTTTGCTTCTTTATGGCGGAGATGAAAGAAACCGAAAGTGCATAAAATTTTATCCATTTATGAAAATGAGGCGACTTTGCCAAAAGGTCAAGGGTTACCCTCTCAAGGCTGATGAAACCTGTTGAAGAAATCCCGGATGAGTAACGCGTCTAGACTATTTACAACATAAAAGGACGCTGCAACCGGATTCTTTATTTTTAAAAAGTGTGAATGCTGCCCTGCGACCTTTTCCGAGCCGAAGCGCGACATAATTTTGTTTCCTCATAAACTCCGATTCCCTCGAAACAAATCAAAAGAGTGGGCAATTTATCTTTGCGGTTGACGTGCCATTAAATTAAAATACGCCAGTCTGATTCAAGGTGAAAAATGGGAGATAGTCTTTAACTCTTACTTGTTTTGGATGCGTTCTGTGTTATGCTGGAAAACATTTTTACAGAAACTATATAGTAGGAAAAATCTTATGCCGGAATTAATTTTGCGTCGTTTGATTGATTTTTTTTTTTTTATTATTATTTGACCAAAATGTTGTTAAATTCTTGATATTTTCATTTTCAAAACATAGAAAAATATATTATGCTGTATATTATGAAATAATAAAAAAACGTTTTATTCCTTCTCTGATTGAGACTTATTTTGGATTTTGCTGCGTTTTAATTATGAATTTGTTCCATCTACGAGGCATTGCAAAATATTGATTAACATTTCAACAATAAAACTAGCTTAAATTTTATTGCATTATATTACATCATTATTTAAGCTCCTTTTTTTGTTCTAATTTCAATAATTGAAAAAATAAATAAAACATCACCATTTTCATTATTATTTGTCTTCTTTAAATCAACGCAGTCAAAGTTATATTTTTATGTTAAAGATTGCATAAATTTTCTGACTTCCCTCTTCAGTAAGTTAATCACAAGTGAATGGTCAATCCTATAAAACACTAATTCGCAGCCTTGGAAAATATTTAAAACTTATCTTCTTTAAATAAATACTCCTCACTTCCCTGTAAACAGATGAAAAGAAACAACAGCCAGCACCAGAAGTGACAAAGAAAACCTCTATATGCCTCCGGTTTTCTTTTCAGACGGAAAACCCACACTGCAAAGACTAATTATTTGCGTTGAGCAATCATGTTTGATTTATCTAATTGCCAAGGAGAAGAATTAGCCATGTCATTACTTTCTCGCGCAATCTTCACGCACACACTTCTAATTTTTGGTAGGCGAAAAGTGAATGGCAAAGTTTTTGTTTGATGGATGACACCAAGCAGACCTTGCGTTAACAAAATGCCAAATTTTATAGGCGCGAGTTTCGGCCTCGCTTTATTAGTTATTTATTGAGCCTTTTGTAAATGGTCACTTCTTGCAAATTGAATTTACGCGAGTTTTTATTATCATTGATGTCATCAGGTGCAAATGGAGCCTACGCACAATTAGCTTTTAAGAAAAATGCTTGTTTTCTCTCTTCCTTATGTGTTTTTGCTTTTAATGTTAAGCATACCTTTCGTTGTCATAAAACGAAAAGTGCACTCGTCAACAGCATATCTTCCCTTCTGGGGATTTTTTGATAAAATCCTCTTCCATTAATTTTAGAATTGTAGTTGCAAATACAGTTAATTGGTGCACTAAATTGCAAAATGAGTATAAATCCAAATCGAGATACATCATTCAAATATTCAAAATAATAAATGAAAAAGAAAAACAACGACAATTGGGGAGATTCTTAAAGGAATATTTTTAACACTTTTATTAAATTTAATTTCATTCTAATTCAAGAAACGGGGGCATGTGTTATTTTTGACACTTTTTAGGGCAGCAAAATGAATGAAAGTAACATTAATTGTTCCCATTAAATAGGAAAACGTTCCTTTTTAGGTTGTGCCATATAATGAAGAAAGTTTCTGTTTGATTAAAATCTGTATAGCTGATTATTTTTTTCAATGAAAATTGATTTAATGGTATGTATAAATGTCAAACAAATAAATATGCTAGATGGAAATTTATTTTTGCATAGTGTGGCCATCCTACTTCCCCACGTGCCATTTCTATTTATCCCTGGCGGGTATATCTGGTTGCAAAGAAGAGGTTTTCCACTTCTTGTTGCACAATAAATTTGGTTGCTGAGAGCATTATGGGAACCACGCACAGGTGCGAAAGGGGTCCTCCCTCCAGCAAACGAGCTTCGCTACCACTTGAATTGATTGTCCGGCAGCGTCTTCGTTTCATCTCCCCGCTCCAGGTATAAATGCACTTTTCACCCAGTTTTTGCTTTCAGTGCCAATTTTAACCTGTGCTAGTGAATTTCAAGTGCCACAGTCAACATAGGATTATTCTAGCAAACTGTGAGTTAAATTTTTTAATTAATTTTGTTTTACTGTAAGATTAAAAATTAACAGCTATTTTTTCTAATCCATGCAAATTAACTTAAAGTATCCAAATTCAGAAGCAATATAAAATCCTTCTTTAATTTTTTTTTAATTTTTATAGTCTTTTCATAAACTTTTTAATAGCTGTATCGTTTTGAACAATTAAATATTTTTATAAAATGTAAGTCACATCTCTGACAGAATGTTTTAATTTTAGTTTCTATTTGATTAAAAATAATTTTTTCCCCAAAATTATGTTTGCAGAAACGACAGACAGCCAATATGAGGCGTCTTAACTTCCTATTTGTAATTGCATTTGTCTCACTGAATGTAAGTATAACACAGTAAAATAGCCGAAATAAATTAGCCATAGTTGCTCATTTATGTTTTTTTTTTAACGAGCGGACCAATTTCGATTTCTCACCTACAGCAATAAACTTGTATTAGATGGTTAACGATTCGTGCGTGCGAAATAATAGCAGATAATTATCCAAGTCGACCTCAGCTAGCTAGTATAATTAGTTTCATAAGCGCATCAGGTCACCTACACACATTAAGCGCCTGCAGCAGCAGGTTGCATAACCACCAAAACTAGGCCCGCGTAAGAGAGATGAGACGTGCTCTTTTCTGAATTATTGTGTATGGGTGCAGCTAATGACGTTTTAGTGCCGTCCAGTCGCAACTTGCTTTTTCGCATTGATGGCCAGCGTGAGAAAATTATTGTGACACATCAGGGACTTACGTGCCTAGTTTGGAGGCTACTATTGCACATTATGTAGGAAAATTAATTTGATAATAAAATTGAAGAATGAAAAAACGAACTTCACTTAAAACAAATTCAAATGATTTTCATAAGCTTCTTTTAACTTCTAATTTTTTTTTGTTAAAAAAAATCAGTAAAATGTAAAATAAAGTAGCTAAAATAAGAAATTAGAAAATTACTCACTTAATTTTTGGAGGACTTTAATTGCAGTTTTCACGACAAAATTTAGAATTATAAATTGACGGGAGAAGAGAAATCAAATGTTGCATATTGGTTGTAATAATTCATCTTTCAAATACCTGGTGACTTTAATGGTTTAAAAAAAATTGAATTTATACACACCGAAATGACCACTTACTAGGGCCACCTTTGTACTGACACATCACAAATAAAAAACTTGAAAAGTCTAATGAGCAATTTCAATAACTCTCAATGACATGAAGTTGGTAGACTTCATTGAAAATATAAAATTTGCGCAAAATAACTTGCGCCTGCTGAACCAAAAGGGCTAAGGTCTTGTAACGCTATAGCAATCGGCGCATATATCATAATATGGCTTATATGACTTTATAGCCAAGCAAATTACGTCCGTCTCATAAATTATTCAAATAAATTTCACACTTACCATCACAAACACTTGTGCTTCTGCTGCCTCTCTTTGCTTTGCAGGTGGCCCAAGGGCAGAATTTGCTGTTCCAAGATGAAGTGGAAATCCTGGCCAAAGAGCTGAACCAACTGGCCGTGAGTGCGACCAACGAACGAGGAGCTCGACAGGACGGCCGTCAGCGGGGCTATGCGTACCAAGTGCCCGTAAACCCTCTTCCTCAACCCTCAAACGTGGCAGTGGCCAGGCGACCCGATCCTGAGCACCACCACCACGACGACCACCATGGCGCTCACTCGCACACCCACCTCACCAGGCTGGATGTCACGTGCGATAACGGTGGCATGAGGGTGGAACTGGAATTTGACGGGCCATACAATGGGATCGTGTATAGCAAGGGTCATTTTAAAGATCGCAAGTGCAGGTAAAGTAATGAAGAAATTAATAATAATTTATTTTTTGTAAATGTTTCTTTTAATTTTTCAATATCAACTATATTTTTTAATCTAGACTGTATTAACAATTTAACATTTTATTTCAATCATTTTTTTATATTTTATAAATAAAACTATGTAATAAATCCTATATTTTTAATTTGAGTAAAAATTTATAAATTTTTGCTATAATCTTATGACGCCATGTATTAAAAAATCTTTAAAATGTCTTATTTATTATTTTATGAATTAATTGTATTTAAATTAGGTTTAACATTTAGATAATTATTATATAAAAAATTTGTTATTCAATAAAGTCATTCATACAAAGTTTAACCTCAATTTTAAATATAATTCCAGATATGTCAATAAAGACAGCGCAAGAGGAGATTTCAATTTTCTAGTGCCGATGAACTCTTGTGGTACCATTGGCGAAGACAGGCGCGATGACCATGAAACTATCCTTATATTCCAGAACGAAGAGTCCGTCCAAGAAGTGTGGGACGTTGCTAAACGCGTCCGGTGTCCCACGGTGGAGCGCAAGAAAATCATCAAAACCGTCTCTTTTAACCCCTTTACCGTTGCCCGATTGGAAATCGAAGACCAGCCCATCCAGAAAGCCACTGAGACTAATATCGAGTGCTGGATGGACATCCAGGTCGGCGACAACCCCTGCGGTTCGCCTGTCAAGGACAGGGTCAAGATCGGTGACCAACTGAGTGCGGTCATCTACGTTAAGGACGGAGGCGCCCAGTACGACATCCTGGTCAAAGACTGCTATGCCCACGACACCGAAAATTTGAACGCTCGCAACGCTTCGTCCGTTCAACTCTCCGACGGCAGGGGTTGCCCGAGGAAAGAAAAACTGATGGGCATCTTCCGCAAGAGCCAGCAAACCTGTTCCTCAGGAGCGGACATCGTGGCCTTTGCGCCAATCAGCGCCTTCAAGTTCGCCGATCGTCCGGATGTCTTCCTGACCTGCATTGTTGAACTCTGTCCGGGCGGATGTGACCAGTGCGAGTCCCCCTCTTCAGTTATCAACACCATCCGGGAGGCTCCTTTCAAATGCACCCCTAACTTAGTCGGCATCGACTCCAGGTGTCCGGCTCCGACCACCCCAAGACCAACCCCCTTCGTCTGCACCCCTGATAAAATTGGTCGCGATCGTCGTTGTCCGGCCCCAACCACTCCATTCGTCTGCACCCCCGCCCTGGTCGGTCGGGACGTTAGGTGTCCAGCACCAATCACCACTACGCAAAGAACAACCACCCCATTTGTTTGCACCCCGGAAAGAATAGGCCGTGACCGTCGGTGTCCAGCTCCTCGAACAACCACTCAATTCAGTTGTACCCCTGAACTTATCGGGGTTGATTACAGGTGTCCGGCGCCAACAACTATCAGGACCACAACTCAATTTATCTGCACCCCTGATAAAGTTGGACGAGATCGTCGTTGTCCAGCTCCTCGAACAACTACTCAGTTCAGTTGCACCCCTGACCTCATCGGGGTTGATTACAGATGTCCGGCACCAACAACCGTCAGGACCACAACTCAATTTGTCTGCACTCCTGCTTTAGTCGGACGTGACCCAAGGTGTCCGGCTCCAACAACCACTACACAAAGAACAACTACCCCATTTGTCTGCACCCCTGATAAAATTGGACGAGATCGTCGTTGTCCAGCTCCCAGAACAACTACCCAATTCAGCTGTACCCCTGACCTGATCGGGGTTGATTACAGGTGTCCGGCACCTACAACCGTCAGGACCACAACGCAGTTTGTTTGCACTCCAGCCTTAGTAGGACGCGACCCCCGCTGTCCCGCACCCTCGACAACTACCCAGTTTGTCTGCACTCAAGCCTTAAGAGGCAAAGACCCACGGTGTCCCGCCCCAACCACCACTCCTGCACCCACCACCCGATTTGTCTGCACACCTCAGCTGGAGGGAAACGATCCGAGGTGTCCAGCTACAGGCGCTTCCTTCGACCGCAACCCCTCCCGAAAGGGCATCTGTGAGTTTAACCCCACTGCTCCTGGATGTGGAATTTCAACTGAAGGCCTGCAGCACCATGCCTTCCACAAGTGGCAGGCGGTGACTGGACGGGGCACCAGAAGGAAGTACGACGGCTCCCGTCCAACTTTCTCCCCTCAGACACCGGCCCCAGCAAGACGGAGACGCGATGTGAGCCAGAACATCGTCATCACTGGAGTGAGCACCGGATTTCATTTAACTGAAAAATAGCCAACTTAATGAGCTTGAATTGATATCAAAATTTATAGCAGCGGTCCCGATCAATAAAAAATAATAAGTAGTGTAAATAAATTTTAGGGTTTGATTCAGAATTTATTGTAATGAGAATCTGAAATAAATTTTGTCTCTAACTCACAACTCACAAATTTTAATTCCTTCAGAATACCTTACAAAAGAATATTAAAAATTGATATTTATTGCGGTTATATAAAAAAAAAAAAACAATTAATGAAAGGAAACATGTGATTATTATGAATTTTATGAGTTATTGCAATTTTTAATGAACCAAATTTTTTTTTAAACTCAATATTTTTGATATGCTTGATGGTCATCTGGGGCATTTAGAAGCATGATTTTTAAATTATTTATTAAAAATATAAAAATAATAGCAAAACAGGAGTTGAAAATCTTGTTTATCAAAATTAATTTAAATATTGATTCCGATTATTATTTTACGGCAAGGAAGAGTTCAAGAAACTTTTTTTTTCCTCTTAATCAGAATAATAAATCTCTGAATCGATGCTGATCGATGGATCATCTTGCTCCGTTTTCATAAAGGAAATTGCGAGAAAAAGAAAAAATTATTTTCTATTTTATTAAAATTAAATGAACTTTTTTTAAATTTACTGATGAAGTTGATATTTGAAGGGAGGAATGTCACAAAATGCTTTTTAAAATATTTGATTTAGCCTCTGAATATTCAAATTCCATCACTGATAAAAGGGATTACACCAAAACCATTCTGAATTTGGAGCTTTAATAATTGGGTAGTTTTCCTCCAACCACAAGGATTTTTTCAAAAATGAAAAAAAATTGTATTGTAATTTTAGCAGATGATTTGTAATTTCTCATGAAACCTAGGATAAATTTACCTGCTATCTTCATTTAATTTTAAAAATCACGGTGTCAGCTAGACACTAGAATGAGCGATGACTTAATCAATTAGATTAAACTGAGCTGCGGAAGAAATTGAATTATGTATTTTTAAATTTTTACATTTTTATACATAATCCACAATATTTACATTTACTTAGAACATATTATAGAATATAACATACCTCCAATTTCTCCGACCCTCCATCTTAACTGATCTTAACCGTAGAGATGTACTATGTAGTTGGAAAAATGCAGATGCAGATAGTAAAAAGTAAAATTAATTAAAAGAAAGAAAAAAAGGGTGAAAATATTTTCTATCCTTTCTTGTTGGCTTTTTGCTTGCTCTTTGCTCTTGTTGTCTTTCGTCTTTCCTCTTGATATTTACTTCGATTTCTGAACTCTGATGGCGCTGGGCGCTGTACCAAATCTTACGATAAAAGGCGCGAAAAGATTGAATAGTTCAAGAGTTAGCGTATCACAGGTTGCAGAAGTTGCAGGTTTTAAAAGATGAAAGTTCATTGGATGAAAATGCTTCAAACAAAATTGATAATTTCATGAAATTTTTTAATGAATTTAATTTTTCGTAACACTTAATTTACTTTCTTCATTACAAATTTGTAAAAATGTATGTGTTGCATATTTTTTTCTGTCTAATCATTGAAAATAAATATGCAACTTTCTGTTATCAAACTTTATGCGAAATAAAAATTAACAGCGAAAAAATTCAAATCAATGGACCATGAGTGTTGAAAAGCGACATTTTATAAGCTGTGAAACAACAAGAGAAAAATATTCAGTCCTCTGATCCGATTGCGTTTGATCTTTGCCGTTGTCGCACGTTTCAGATGATGAAACACTATTAAACAATTTTGTCTCTCCCCAAGGTTCTCATACACATTTTCCTCTCTCATAGAGGCGTGTATCAATAAAATATTATTTCTAGCAGCGAGAATTATATACCGCGAAAGGAGCAACGTCGCCGCGCGTTCTGTCACGCGGCTTCTAAATTGAAGTTTGTTGGCATCTAATTAGCGAACAGCTTAATCTTTTACGCTCCATTGGAAATATCTCATCATCGCCGCCGCCATCATCAACATCTCGCCAAGTATAATTACGGATTTGCCTTTTTAAATAAAAATATTATATGTGTGTCACCAATGCGTTTGCAAGTATTTACATCGAATAAAATATTGAAAGATACAGGCGCGTTGACAAGAGAATAAATATGAACTAGTCTGCAAATAGGTAATAATTATTTGTCTGCATTTATAATATGATATTGTTAACTCCATCAATTAAATTTTAATTCTTTTGATTTGCTGCACGGTGTGATTAACTGAAGATTAAAATTATTGTAGTTTTCAATTAGAGAAATAATTAATAATTATGTGCGACATTGGAAATATAAATGTTAATACTTGAAACAGTTTTTGCACTTCTTAATTATTGCAAAAATATTAAATTCTTTTTTTAAGATTGTGTTTCATTTTAACAAACATATATGTTTTTTAAAACAATATATAAAAAATAAAATATTATTGCTGAAATTATTTTTTCACAAAAAAAAAAAAATTAAAAAAGTCACCCAAATAACCCAATATTTTATTGCAATGAATATTTAAAGATTGTATTTATCATAGCTGCGTCACAAAAACATACTCAAATTATCATCAAATTCATCTTCAAATCTGCATGAAAAATAATACAATGAGAGATAAAGAATCTCAGAGACGTATTTGTAACGCAAAACCATCAGTCGTGTTCCAGGAACAAGTTCTCGACATTTCTCTTTTCTGCGACGGTCGGGACAGTGTTGGCATGCAAGTGCAAGAGAGAGAAGCGAGCAGATTACCGGAACAATAATCAGCTTGAGTGGAGTGACCCCTGTCACGGTAGACCACCCGCTCTGCAGCCTCTTTTTTATTCTCGTTTATACGTCCAGCTTGATTTTCCTTGTGTATAAAATAATGCGTCCTTTTCGCCGCACAGCGAGACGGAGCGAGCGAATAAAGCAGGCTGCGGACGACAGATGCATGATAAAAACCCTCTTCGGGCCAATCAAGAAGGGCCGTCGCCGCACATCCCCGACGAGATTGCGTCACGCGCCCCCGATCGACGCCAATAAAATTGCGCACTCGGCTGGAAATTAAAAGCAAGGCTGATCGAGAGAGATACATTTCAGCTCTCGTTTCGTTCGGCCGATTTTATATATGCAAGTACATGATGCATGCATGTGTTACACTCCGGGGGTGGTTATTTTTCTTTCGCCACTCGCGGTGGGTGGTAACACTATACACCGTGCACTTCTTCTTCCTATATAAACGTTTAATTCCCAATTGGGTGCGGCGGATCGCGGCGGATAAATTTTCGTTTCGGGTTTGGGTTCCGTCTTGCCGAACAGCATCTGTTGCACTTTTCAGCCTTGTCTTTCGTCTCGAAATGCAGACAGGGGCAATCTGGTGGGTGGCCGTTTTCACAATATCTAAACTCTTTGTCTGGCTCGTTTATTTCTAGCTATTTACAATCAAGTTGTGTAATGATGTGTCTGATAAGGTTGTCAGGAAATTTATTACATTTAGTCGTACCCAAATAAAAAGCATAACAGGCAGCAAAAAAGACTTTTTTTAAATTGCCTCATTAAAGATAATTAGGTTACAAAAAATTAATAAATAAAAAAAACCTTAAACACTGAATATAAAAACACAATTTTTTTCTGTAAAAACTAAAAATTTTAAAATTTGATTTTCTTTTTTGTATTTTTTTTAATTAATAGTAAAAACTTGCAATTAGTTTTGCCTGAATCAAATATTCCATTCAATTAGTTAGTTCTCTTAAAACAGGTCAAAGATTATTTTACTAAAAAATCACATTGAAGACACTAAAAATATCTCAAATACGGCGTGTATCGCTGACCTGGCGTTTTAGGCAACAACGTAATGTCTGTGAAAGAATTTGTGGAGAATTAATGAGATAAAATTTTCTGCAAGTGTTAGAATTTTTAATTTTTTTATCTCTATTTTAAAAATTAAAGCAACAAAATTCTCGCAAACACGTTAATTTCTCTGCTCTAGGAAATATTTTTTGAGAATAGAAAAAAGGAAAATTTATTTCATTTATTTGGCTTCCAATGCTAAAAATTTGAAAGATGTAAATCAACGCCAACTAATAAAATATTAAATTTGTGCAAATGTCTAATGAATAGAAATGAGTGCAGCGCAGTCGAGCGAAGCGACAAACAGAGGCTGGAAGCTCAAAGCGCGACAACGACTGATCGGATCAAAAAATAAATTTCACAGCAACTTTTTTCATGCCTTAAATGATTTAGAAATATTAGCTTTTAGCCAAAATTCTAAGACTTTCAATCAGAGATCAAAATTAATCATATTATATTGGTTCATCCCGTCGGGACAACTTTGTCGGGTTGCTTAAGTCGTTCCCGCTTTTCTCCCACAAAAACAATCGGACACGCCCCTATATTATTAGTTATAATTTGTTTCTTAGTTGACAAAGTGCATCGTGTCTTGCCGGGCTCAAGATTCAGCCCAAATTCGGCCCGAAATAGACGAAAATCGGCCGAAATGCAGAGTGAGAAGGATTCCTCCTGTCAGGGCAGCTCGAAAGCCAGTCAGACTCGCCGCCGGAAAAGGTAAGTTCCTTTTTCGTTCCCACTTTGCAAATTGACCTTCGAGACTCGTACATAATTAAGTCTGATTTACCTGGTCATGGTCAACTCGGCCAAAAACATGCCGTCAATTTGAGAATTTTTTCTTTCGAGTGCCGCTAGCACTAAAAATCACAGAGCTCAATTTGGAAGCAAAAGTGTTTCCAGTAAATCTACTCGGTGATCTGGAGCTGTAAATGGGAAAAAAATCCGTATTATTTGAAATAATAACTATGACAAAAACCATCTTCTCCTAAACCTACCACAGAAAAATTAGCTCTACATACATACATCAAATATAGAAAATAATTTTTAACTTATAAGTTAAATCTTGTTGGAATATCACGACTTAAATTAATTTATTTTTAAGAACTTTAGTTCAATAATTAACAATTAAATAATGATTTATTCTAATGCATTTTATTTTCAATAAAATCTCTAATTTCTATCAAACCTTTTCCTTGCTTGAAACTGTTTTCGAAAATCATTCCAATTGGCTGTACATTCAAACATCTCGCACTAATTAAGAAAGAAATAAAAAAAATAATAAAAAAAATGAGCTTCAACTTTTTTTTTAAATTTTAAATTTTGGTCGAAAATTTTGTTGATTAAGAACTGCACAAAGCGCACGTTTCATTAATCAATACATGCAAATAATAAAATGCTCCATCGAGCAAAAGGTGGAGAGCACACGATTCATAACATAACTCTCGGCGCGCACAACGCAGAGAGCAGAAAAAGTTTATTGTGCCGAAGCCGGCGGGCTGAATAAGGGCATTTCATGCTTCCAACTTATTATTCTCTTTGTGCCCATTTCAATAACCTGCTGCAGAGTGCATTCTTCGCGACAATGGCGGGCGGCATTCCTCCTCTGATCTTCCGTCCTTTTGTGCAGTGCACCTGATTTTCTCGATTTTCTTCCCCGAGAAGAGGGAAAATTTACGCGAAAAATTCCTCCTCTCTCATTTGGTGTTTGATAAATAGTTTGATGTATTTTATTTCACGCGGGGCGACACCCTCTTCTCCGCGAGATAGATATTTTGATTGTTGTCAAATGGTACCTTTTATTGAGCGCCCCGCGGGGGTCGCGACGAGCAGGCCATTTGTCACAACTCTATATTATCAGGTGTTAGTTACATAATGACCCTTATATTCGGGAAATGATCCAACAACACTCGTGCACAATGCAAACACTGGTCCGCGCGAAAGAAATCTCGTGCGTGCTGGAGAGCGTGAGAAATTCCGCACTCGGATCGACGGACCCATTCACTTTTGAACAGAGAATAAGAGAGCATGTGTAAACTTGGAAGATACACGAAAAGTCACAATGAGAGGAAACATAAATTTTTTATCGCCGCCGGGGATGATAAATGGTTACGAATTTTTGAATGAAATCAAATACACTCAAAATTTTACAACCTCTCCACGCGCTCAGGACTAGCTGTGGAAAATTCCTAAATCGTATGCAAATAAATTTCAATTTATGTAATTTATTGAAATTTACGTAAATAAATAAAAATAAAAATCAAATGACAAAATTAGATAATAAGTATTATATTTTTGTTTCATAATCAAAGCTCAATGCTATAATGGCGTGGAATTGCATGAAATTTAATTTGTAAAATTTTCATTCCTTTTTTAGTTTTTTTTAAAATTTAGTTAACTTAGCTCATTATACGTTTAATTGTAATGAATTTATTCTCTATACTGAAAATTAAGTTTCAGTGAATCTTTACTCAAAATTACATCATATGTTGATAATTAAAAAAAGCAATGAAAGAGCAAGCAATTAAGCAATTAGAAATAAGATTTGTTTTTAATTTTGCATTATAATTAATTTGCAATTTTTTACATCTATAGAAAAATAGAGAGCAGTTATTATGAGTTCTATTAAAAATTAGAAAAAAAAGAAATAAAAATTTGCTTTGTTTCAGTCTTTGATGTCTTGTAAAAAATTAAAACTCCATAATTGTAAAAGTCTATATGAAGCAAAAACTCCAGGCAATACTTTGACTACTTGCAGATTCTTTATGAAGCGCTGTGTATGTTCGCAGTATTACTTTTTTTATCCATACCCTTTCTTTCTCTTAATACAATCGCACTCTGCGCGGGCTGCTTGCGTTTGAAAATATTGAATGCGCATTTCAATAATAATTGCGGCGTGCAAGTCAGAGTGTGAAAGGCGCGGCGATAAAAGACGGACACACGTAATAGCCCCGAAACGGCCGGGCTGATGCTCATAATGCGGTGATTACACGTAGTATTGGCGGCGTGAATGGATAATTGCTATATAAGCCACAATTTATATCAAAGGCAGAATCTTCTATTTATTACATGTGCCTCACTAGACGCCGCGCTACTGGATTTTTATTTGTGTGCCTGCATGAATACGTCGTTAACTATCAAGAGAGAGATGCACCGCGCGCATATGTACGCGACCATGTGATTATATTATTGAAAAATATTATACTTGAGGGCAGTGAAAAAGCGAAATTGCAGAGTATCAATTTTTAAAAAATTTGATGTTTTGCCACTGTTTTCCATTTACTTGATTGAGGCTTGTAAATTTGTGCGTAAATACCCTCAATATTTTGTGAAAACGCGAGATGTGCATGCATATGAGACGCGCGAGAAGTTTGAGTTGTACGTGCCGGTCCAGACGTGTGCTATTTCGAGGCAAAATCCGCTCATTTGCTTGTCGCGCTTGTATAATAATTTGCCTGTATCTATTCGATTGGAGTTGAGATACCCTCAGTTTGTGGGCTTGTTAAAAAAATTTGTTAGTTTTCACAAGTTCTACACTGAGGAGGAGTATGTAAATTACAAAAATAACTTGTAAATATGTTAAACTTCTTTTTTTCCCTGCTGTGTATTTCATTTGACAAAATTGTAAATGGGTGGGTCGCACGGGAGATATTACATGTGATTACATTCCATAATGCAATAAAGCTGCAATAATAATAATACGAATATTTCTCAATTACAATTTCGTCGAGAATTTAATATTATTATAAATGATCTTTATTTATGTATGAGGCGTCACCATGATGTAATTACTCATTGTGACGCACCTCATTTGCAACATAGTACAAAACAAGTAGAAAATAGAGAGTAAAAAACAACAAAAATATTACAATATATCAATTAGTTGAAAAAAACTCTTCTTTGATATAAAATTTATGTGAATGAACAAATCGCCTCAAACTACTTTCAAAAATCTTGTATCGAGGCTCTAAGCAAATCGAAACAGGCAATTTTTTATACAAAGCAGCTAAACAAGTCAAAGGGTTCTGCTTAGAAATTAACAAAGTCTGAGCAGGAACATACAAATCCCTTTTTGCCCGTGTCTGATAATTATGAACTTCACTTGTTTTTTGAAAATAGTGCGGATATTTACGAACAAATTTGCACGATTCGAAGAGGTAAATTGAAAACACTGGCAGAAAGTCGAATCTAGCGAAAAGCTAGATAAGATTTTGAAAGATTATTTTTAAATGATAAAATCGGGGATAAAATAATAAATTGAGCTACAATAAAGCTGTGTAAAGAACGTGGTTCAAACTTTAAACATTCCCATTAAAATGATGAAAAAATATAATATAAAGTAAAATATTTGAAATTTTTTACAAAAGAATAAAACAAGTCTACAACTTTTTGAACTTTTTAAAAAGTGGAAGTTAAGTAGTTAATCCATAGAATTAAAACAAAATTTTTTCTATATTTTTCATACTTTTTTAATTTTTTTTTAATATTTTATTTATTTTTTATTTTTTATGTATATTTTTTTTAAGTTTCTTTGCAACACGAGTTCTATAGTTTTAATTATTATTAATTATAATTGATTTTTTCTTTTTTTATTAAATGTAGTGTTATGTAAATTGGAGATCTGAAAAAGAATTTAAATTATTGATCCAGATTAAAGGGCAACTTTTGGGCAACTGATTAATATCAGTGTGATTCTACTTGATTCTACTTTTGAAATCTGGGAATTCCCAAATCCTTCCCAATTTTTTCACGTCCCTTAACATTGAAGCCTCGATTGAAGCGGCGTCTTTTGAATCGGTTCAGATATGTATAAAAATTCGTACGTATTTACGTTTGTGTACATGTGAATGCGGTGGTGTGAGCAGTGTAGTAGTGTGTCTACTATATATGTGAACACAATTCCTCCCATACATATTCATGACGTGCAGAAGAACAAATTAAAAATACAGCAGCAGCAGCATCAGCACGGCTAATGATCTTTCACGATGACGGCCACTAGTATTACGTTTTGGTTTCTTTTCTAAAGGGCTCTCGCACACCATGGCTATATATGGAATGGACGTCTGAAATAAAAATTGGAATAAATTTTATACTAATGAGCTGCACCAACAACTAAAGAATTGAAGAATGAGCCTCGCCAAGCACTTTTCTATACACATGCAGTACTATATGTTGTTGGGCGTCTCTTTTATTCGTTCGCCGCCGAGCCTCGCAGAGAAGAAGGAAGAAGTGATGATGTTTTTGAATATTATATTCTCTGTTTGTGTGCCATGGTCCTGCATGATTTGGGTTCACACGCAGTCGATTGAATAGCCCATACAAGATAAACGCCATGTGTTCAATAGCACCTGCTGGAGAGATTATTTTTATTTTTCAATTAATTACACTGCGCTATTTTACTCTCAAGTCTCGTTGCTCCAAATAATTTTATTTTTGAAGTTGATTTGTTTGAATAATACAATATGAGAATAATATTATAAATAAACTGAATTCGTTTAATTAAAAAAAATTTTTTGCTCAAATTTTAGCTGAAGAAGTCCTTAAGTGTTTTTCAATAAAAAATTAATTTGATCGAAATATTTTAATTAAAATTTATTTTTAAATTCTAGATGGAAAATAAACATAAGGTTTGTTAATTTTGTTAGTCTGAAGTTGACGGCGCAGACTGATTTTCAAAAACAATGTAGTAAAGTCAAACAGTGGTCGAACTAAAATTATAT